CAATTTCAAAGATTTTACATGTTTTATTATGTTTATCATGTATTTCTTCAGTAACTATATTTTGGCTTTAATATTTAAGATATAGAACACTTATGAATTATATATTAAATATTTATTTATGGTGCTAATATTTATGAAAATTTACTAGTAGATAAATATTCTGATTTTTTTGTATGTGGTAGTTCTGTGTAAATTCAGTTGGTATCTGTCAACAAGCTACTAAATATTTACTATATTGTAAACCACAGACTTGAATAGATTTTATAATGAAATGAACATTAAAACTTTTTTGTCTTAGGTAAACATTGAGCCTTGAAGACATTTACTTAGGACTAATGGTTTCTTAAAGTCATATAAATTAATTTTTACGGAGAGCTGCCAATTTTTGGTTTAAAGTTCTCCTTCGGAAATTCTTAAAATATTTGAATTTTCTCGTGCTATATCCAGTGTATGTTATTTATTAAAAACTATTCAGAGAGCTAAGACTTTTGCTCTTTCCTTTGGAAGACTAGTTACCCCTCTGATATCCTACCTCTAGCTTAAAAAGGAAGTAGAAGTAATAAAAGTAATAAAACAGTACTGTGTTTTGACATTGAGTAGCCTTTTCATTTCTTTTGATGGGATTCACATTTTATATACCTGACTCTAGCTAATGAGGCTTGTGTGTGTGTGTGTATGTGCCGATGGAGTACATTCATCACTGCTTGTCTGTTACCTCATTTATGTAAATACTCCTGAGTAATGTGAGCTTGGAGATGGATTATAAACAATGTTACCATAAGTGATAATGGTTCCATTTAATAACAACATAATCCAACACTTGCTATATGGCAGGTTTGTGGTCTAAGTGCTTTTACGCTGTGTCCCTACAAATACCCTGCAGGTATGTACTGTTATGATTCTCATTTTTCAGATGAAGACGCTGAGGAGTAGAAAGGTTAAGTTCCCACAGCTAATAAATGGGATAAGAGTCAGGATTCAAACCCATGCTTTTTGGCTCCGGAATCCTTGCTCCTAAGCACTACTTTGTTTTACCTAGAGGATTTTAGCGATGTGATACATGGGAGTGGGAAAAGAACCGACCTCCTTTGAGGAGAGTGTTGGCCCCATATTGACCATCACAATTTGTTGTGATTTCTTTTACACAATGTAGCGTTTGTTTTAGATAAAATTTCTTTTGTTTTGAAAATGTGGCCACCTGCCTTATCATGGTGATTTCTTTTTTTGCATAAATACCAATGGCTTTCTCTCTGTGTAAATAATGATGGTTGTAGAGTGATTATTTTTTATTAATATATGTATTTAGTGTGGTTATCATATTATTCATTCTTTCCCTCAGTGATGATAAGGAGGAATAATAATACATATTAAAAACTGGGATTGTGCCCTGGCCGGTATAATTGTCCCATGTGTGTTGGACATTGTCCTGTGCACCAAAAGGTTGCTGGTTCGATTCCTGGTCAGGCCACATGCCTGGGTTTCGGGATCGATCCCCAGTAGGGGCATGCAGGAGGCAGCCAGTCGATGTTTCTCTCTCTCCCTCTCCTTTGCTCTCTCTCTAAAAATCAGTAAAAACATTTTTTTTTAACTTGGATTGTGATTAAACGTGGAATGAAATATGTAAAAAGCCAACATTCTCAGGGAAGCTAAGTTTATATTTGTTTCAGCTTTATGATAAAAGAAAACAGTAATGCCTCTTTCCAGACATGCATTGAGCATGCTTTCACCCTCTCGCTCAGGGAGTGCTTAGATTCCGAAGTCCGTGTTATAGCAAGTATGCGTGGCCATGGGTCATTTACAAAGGTGCGTAGCCCGTGTCTGTTACAGAAACCAGAATTTTAGTTTGTACTGCAATTGTTGGTAATCAGCATCTTTTATTTTCTTTATATTTTATCCTAGGAAAGTAGCATATTTTAATAATGATACTGAAGTGAAGTGTTTTGTCTCATTGGATTCTAAATGATCATGGTTTTATGGGATGTGTGAAAAACAGTGCTACATTGTATGGATGTCTTTTCAATTGGATTGTGTCTGTATCTATTTTAACAGCTCAGTTACTCCACCTGATTGTTTAGTGTAGCGCAGGGCACTTGAGGCTAGACCTTCAGTGGATGGTGGAGAGTGGATAAGTATTTCCGCTCTGTTCTCCGCCTCTAGGGACTTCACTGCACATCGAACACTACTTCTCCTGAAGTTACAGAGAGGACCAGGTTCTAGAACACAACCTAGCCTTCGAATGGAATCAGATATTCATCAGCGTAATTCATTTGTGGGGACAGAAGCTGAGTTTTTCCGAAGGATCTTTTTTCCATGTGTACGTCTGAACAAATGTAGGCATTCCTTAGTTCATTCTAGATGTACTCAGATGTTTAAGATCTTTTAAATACCTTAACCAGCCCATTTTTAGTTCTTTGTGATTTTTAAAAATTTCACATTTCATTAATAATTATACTTAGTATTTTTATAAAATAAGAAATGGTGTTATCCCATATTTTTTTCTTTCAAATTTTTTAAATGAATTACAAAAATTTTGTCATTGGTATAATTATTAAACTATTATTATTTAGCTGAACAGATTTATAGCATTTTATACAAATATAAATCTGTTACAGTTTTACAATAGCATTTAAAATCTAAATATTTTATCACTAATTAGAGAATATCTAATGATTTTAAATTTTATATAGGATTACATGAAAATAGAAAAATAATAAGTACAATCAAGAAAGGAACTATTTTGGTGTTTTTTTTTAATGGAAACTGTGACTTTAACATTCTGGTTTTATAAATTTGCCATGTGTTTCTTAACATTAGGGCCCTGTTTTTTCAGTAAAACTAAGTGAGGAGGGGCGCCGTGTTTCTCGATGAAGTTATTTTATGTGCTCGGACACTTGTAGAGATGATGTTTCTATACATGTCCTCCATTTATTCACTCATTCAGTAAAGTTGAGCATCTGTCCAGTGGTAGGCACTGGCTTGGCACTTGGAGCATATCACTGCAGGAAAAAGAACTGACAGTCTTTACAGCCAATGGTGAAAATCGAGTTTTCCAGCAAAATTTCGAATTTCGGAGGCGCGTCTGCCAACGTGAGCTGGGCAGCTTCCAGTGCCCACGCCTCCGGTGGGGTCTGCAGTGATGATGAATGGATTGTGTAGGGAAATGTGTCAGGGTCGGAAGATCATTGGACCAGTGTTTTCTTAAAGACCAATGTGTGATGTTACAAAATCATGTGGAGCGTAGAGTCACTCAGGGTATCCGTAGACCAAGTGGATTTTCACATAACAGTACAGGAAGTTCACTGACATGCTTTCAATGTCCAGATTGCAGTTAATCTGGTAGGAAACCACCACTTGTCAAATGCTGGTGTAGTATCAAAGAAAGATGTTCATAACTATCTGAATATTCTTTCCTTTTCCAGTGACGTGTCTGTTTGAGCCAGATTTTTTCCTGTATTTCAGTGACAGTAACATACTCCAAGGTTGAAGGCCAGTGTGAGACGCTGGCTGTCCTCGCGTAAGCCGAACTCTAAAGACATTTACAAAAATGGAAAGCAGTTCTATTCTCACTAACATTTTTTTTAGAAAATATATTTTCTTCATAAAAGTATTTGCTACATGTAATGAGCTTTTTATTTTTAAAAGAAGGAATAAAATATTTTTTTCAATTTCTAATACAGTAAACATTATAGACACAATACATATAAACAAATTTTGGGGGGTTCTCAGCAATATTTATGGGTGTAAGGAGGTCTGAGAATGGCTGATTTGGAGGAATGATCCACATCTGAAATGTATGTTGGGGTGAGGTTATGGAGGAGCTCGCATTTTATTCTAAGAGGCTTATACTTTAGAGTAAAGTCAGAACTCGCGCAGAACAGTGCTGCAGGAGTAATCTGTAGGTGACAGGTGCATTGGGGTAGAAGCTGGGCAATGAGGAGAATGGAGAGCAGTCCGAGTGCATTTGCAGAAGGGCCAAAGTCAGGTGCTACATTCTATGTACGTGGGTAAATAAGAGACGTGGAAGGACGTCTTCACCCAGCTTCTGATGGGCTAAGGTAAGGCAGCAGTCAGATGCCAGGTTTGAGCTTAGGTAACCAGGGTCAAGAGAAGCTGGTTTGTAGGGAGAGTTGAACTTCCCGAATTTTATAGTATTGTATCAAGCATTCGAGATTGAATAACCAAGTAAAAATATCCAGCAAAGAACTGAAAATTGAGACCAGGTAGCCTTCCAGCCTTTGTGGTATCGTAGAGTTCTTTATGAGGTAAGAGAATGGTGATCTGGTAGTGAGGTGATAGCTTACATTGAAATCTGGTAAATGTATTGACTACTGTGTACTTGGCCTGTACCATGTGCTCTTACAGTCATGACGTTTGTGTGAGTGACTGTGTATATGGTTTTTAAGCCCTATTAACCCATGTTCTTCCATTTCCTTGACCTATTTACAGCATTGACAGAGAGTTATTTTCCTATGTAGAACAATAAAATGTTTAAACAAGTTATGATCAAGATACAACAATGAAAATAGACTCTTTCCCTTCTCTTTTTTAAAAAGTGGCATAATTAGTCAATGGTACATGGAAGAGAAACATCTATTTCATATCCCTGTTATGATGTGTTTTTCATAGAAATTCCCCGATATTGTGTGGACGATTTACCAAAGCTTTTTAAAACGGCTGAAAACATGTTCCTAACAACCATCTGATAAAATGAAAAACTGCACAAAATGTGTACTCAGATGAATGATTCTCTGAAGAAATAATGGTGCAAATGATTTATCAAAGTGTGAAATCATTAAAAACAAAACATGTTTGCGTTTTTATTGAATCTTAATTGCAGGCTTATGTATTTTCTTTTGTAAGCTAAGTTAAAAGAAAATTGCCTAACTAAAAATTTGGAGGCCAGTGTTGTAGGACATATATTGTACCATAATTTATTTTTCACATAAAAGCTGCTGTTCATTTTATCCCCTGGCATTAACATGCATACTTTCCTTATGTAGGAGAATATATAAAAAACTGGAGGCCAAGATACTTCCTTTTGAAGACAGATGGCTCATTCATAGGCTACAAAGAGAAACCTCAAGATGTGGATTTACCTTATCCCCTCAACAACTTCTCCGTGGCAAGTAAGTTCATTATACTTGTTGATTCACCTTGTATTTATTTATTTGCATGACCTTACGTCAGATACCTTAGTGTATATGAGAAGCCTATGAAAAAGTTTAGGCCTTATTTAACAGCAGAGAGAATTTCATCTTGGATAGAATTTCAGTTCCTTAGCATAGGGCTGATCAATAGTATGCGATTTTCTGTGATGAATTGTTTAATATCTTTTATAGTTAGCACTTGAATGTGATCGTTACAGATCCCCAGATATGTCCTTCAGGTTTTCCTTGACGGAATGTAAACAGAGCCCTTTGAACTTGGTTGCTGGGTGCACACGGTCGGGAGATGTTGCAGTCCTGAGTGCATCTCCAGTCGGTTGCTGTCAGTCTAAGCTCTTCAAGTGATTGTATGATGAGAAGCCAGTGGTTTCCATTAGAAATTATTCTCACAGGAGATTTTACGTTTGTAGTTAAATTTTTTCCCTTACAAACATCTAACAAAAATGTTTGTAGTTTAAACTTATTTAGAAATTATATATTTGCCTGAACATAGCACAGAGTGAACGGAAGGCCGATGGTGATGAAGCGGCAGCAGTTCCTATGTTACCACCAGGCACGTCACTGTTTAGATTACTGATCGTCAGGGGAAGGGTCTTTCGGTGTTAATTCCAAAGTGAAGCATTTTAAAGTCGTGTTAAGTTCAAATAAACCTGCTTGACAGTTCAAGTCTGTGCCACTGAGATAGTCTTTAACTGGACGCCACACTTAATTGTGGGTTTGGTCGTATGTTGTTATCTATTAGCCATTTGGAAATGACATGAGGGAAGATTGGAGCAGAATAATAATAATAATAATAACAACAGTAAAATAGTAATAACAAAATATCCAAGATAACGAAAGTCCCTGAATGTTATAAAAGTCATTTTACCATTATACAGAGCCTTTTTTAACTTTTTTAAAGAATAAGATAAAACAGTAAACCAAAGGGTTTGTGAAATCATTTGAAAGATAAAGACACTAACTTAAAAAACAACAACAAAAAAACCTCTATTTAAGTGGATTCTTAGGTAGGTTTTTAATTTTTTTTTAAAGTGTGGACACTTTCTCATATGGATTAGTTAAGGAAATTATTTTTCTCACCCAAATGCTCATTAGATACATATAGCTTTCTTTCAGAAGAAAATTATTTTTGAAATCCTGTTGCTAATCGAAATAATAGCTTGCATTTTGTATTGCTTTCACATGCTTTCATTCCGAAGGTCTGCTGGCCAAGCGTTTGCTTCCAAGTGACAGGAACTGGCTGTTGAACACCAGCAGCATAGATTAGCATGTGCTGCCTCCAGCCAGTCTCGTTTCTCTGTTTTACTAGCGAGTGCTGTTGGTTTGTCTGGAATAATTTATGAAAGTATAGAACTCCTGTATCTGCTGATCAAAATGCAGCATTTTTTGACCTTATGAAATTTCACACCCCAACAAGTTTTAAAGACATAGTGTATGTCACAATCTGCCAACATCTGCTCCCACGGGGGAACCTGGCAGAGGCTGGAGGGAACGCTGCGCTCTTGGGGAGAGCCGACCAGGGACTGGCAGTCGGCTCCTCCACGAAACAGACATTAGTCGACATCTGTACTCGTTGCTTGTCCTGTCGAGCAGCTGTAGGTAGTTGACGCAAACTAACAAGTGAAGTTGTAGACCGACCCGCTCCCTACTTTTCAGAAGCGTATTATTAACATAGATCTTACACTGGATAGGGCATTTTAAACTGATCATCCTTAAAGCTTGACTTACTGCAATCTTAAGGTTTATAAATAATAATTACCTGAAGAAACTGGAGTAAAATGGGCCCTTGCTGAAGTGCAGATGTCAGCGTTGCCTTAGCATGAGGATGACCTTGGGCAGGTCATTCTCTGGTCTTGAGTTTCGTCATCACTTAGTGAAAACACTTGATTCAGTGAGTTTTAAGGCCCTTTCTGTCTTTAACTTCCTGGTATTCTGGGGGGGGGGGGAGGGGGGGGGCTGACCAGGCCCTTGAAGAGTGCATAGGAGTTGAACAAATTAAAATAGAGGAGAAGGCTGTTTCAGGCAGAGGTGACAACATGTTTTTGTGAGACATTAAAAGACAGAACAGTTGGAACGAGAGTGAGCTACTTCACCAGTGGTTTCCCTACTTCCTAGTTCCTGCTAGTACACGAAAAAGAGACTCGTTTACAAGGTGCTTTCTAAGGTATACCGGGAAATGGTATATACACATGTTCCATTGATAGCTGCAGTGAGTCTCCTGCTTTTCCTGATAATTGAAAATGTTGCTTACATTTTGTTTATGGGGGTCTTAATGGAATTTTATTAAAATAGAGTTTTTATGCTCTGGCTGGTTTGGCTCAGCGGTTAGTGTCGGCCCACAGGCTGAAGAGTCTTGGGTTTGGTTCTGGTCAAGGGCACGTGCCTCAGTTGCAGTTGGGTCCCCGGCCCTGGTCGGGTCGTGCAAGGCAGCCAGTCGATGTGTCTCTCTCACATCAGTGTTTCTTTCTCTTTCCCTCCCTCCCCCTCTGTCTGAAGATAAATGGGAAAATATTCTTGGGTGAGGATTTTTTTTTTTTTTTTTTTTTTATCCTCACCCGAGGACACTTTTTCATTCTTTGTTCAGATAGAGCAGGAGGGAGAGAGAGAGAGAAACATCGATGTGAAAGGGACGCATCAAGTGGCTGCCACCCGCACGACCAACCAGGGCCGGGGACAAACTGCAACCGAGGTACATGCCCTTAGCGGGAACCGAACCCGGGTCTCTCCGGACCGCAGGCTGACGCTCTAACCGCTGAGCCAAACCGGCCAGGGCAGGATTTTTTAAAAATTATTTAAAATAGACTTTTTACCCATTTGAAAAAATAAAGTAAGAACTGAAAGGGACTCAGAAATGACCTTTTCAATCTTCATTAAATTTCAAATTCCTTCCTTTCAGATTTAAAATTTCCAAAAAGATAGTCTGTACTCATTGTTTTTACTTCTCCACCCGCTGCAGTCTAGCTTTCCCTCTTCCTTACTTGGTTGAAACCACTTTTTTTTTTTTTTTAATCCTCACTCGAGGACATGTTTCCATTTTTTTTTTTGTTGTTAAGATAGAGTGGGAGGGAGAAAGAGGAAGAGAGAGAGAGAGAGAAACATCGACGTGAAAGGGACACATTGAGTGGCTGCCACTCGCACGACCCAACCAGGGCCGGGGACAAACTGCAACCGAGGTACGTGCCCTTAGTGGGAACCGAACCCGGGTCTCTCGGGACCACAGGTTGTTGCTCTAACAGCTGAGCCAAACCGGCCAGGGCTGAAACCACTTTTATTTAATATGTTCTCCAGTGACCACTTAATTTCAACGACTAGGAAACATTTTTCTGGTTCTTTTTTTCCTGGATTTATATCTGGGCTGTGTTGAGTATTGTTGACCGCCACTTGCTTTTGGGGTGATCGCTCTCATCATCTCTCTCTGGGATGCCTTTCTCCGGCTTTTCTTCCTTGGCCTGTTGCATGCATTTCGGTGTCTAACTGGGTTCTGACCAAGGATTCTTCTCATTTGGTCCCTCACCCTCGCTGCTCAGATTCACTTAAGGTTTCAGTTCCTACATGCAGCTTATTCCCCAGTTACGTATCTTCAGGACAACCGTTTCTCCTGGGCAGTAGGTTACTGTGTTCACCTGACTTCTGCACATCTCTACCTGGAATGTTTTGGACTCAACATGTCCCAAGCTGGACTCAAGATACTTTTGTCAATTTTTCACCCTATGTTCAGTATCTCATTTCTCTCTTGAGCTGAAACCTGGATCCTTTCCATACCTCTGTCCCCCCTCACGTCTTCACCCCACTTCCAATTCATTTCTAGTCCTGTTGCTTTTGCTTCTTGAACTTAGGTCCTTTCCTGTAATCGTCCTAAAAATAAGCCCTCATCATCTTTGCTATAGATTCTTCTATCACTTGTAACACTTCATGACAAAATGATCTCTCTAAAATGAGATCCTGACTGTGCCTTTCTCCTGTGAAGGCCCTGCCCTGGATCTTCGTTGCCTAGGATACGGTCCAGTGTCCTTAACAGAGCGTGAAGGATCTCCTCGCTCTGGCCGCGCCTCCAGCTCTTGCTTTGACAGCACTGAGCTGCGTATGATTCCCTGCATTCAAACTGTGCTGCGTTCCTGCTCTGGGCCTTTGCTTATACTGTTCCAGCTCTGATGGGAATGTCCTCTGTTCTCTACTTGCCTGCATCTTTTTTTTTTTTTTTTTCATTCTTTAGGACTTAATTCAGATTTAAGTTCCCAGCCTAATTCCTTGCTAAATTACTCCTCTCTGTCTTTTGCAAAGCTGTTACCTTTGTGTCATCACCATGTTTTCTTGGCTGTCTTGTGCCTGTGCACATCTCTGTGCTAATCTGGGAGTCATCTGGGGGAAAGGGCCTCAGTTATTTGTCTTCTATCTCCTAATACCCACATTAGGGCTTAATAACCACTGTAAAATGAATATCTGAAAACATCTAGCCCATACTTTTCACTTTTTAGATGACAAAAATGAAGCCTTTAGAAATTCAAGGAACTTTTTAAGGTTGTTTTACTAGATAGTAGTAGTTAAGGATCAGTTTTCTCTACTTTAAAAGTGTTATTCCCCTCCCCACCCATATTCTGTGACATTTCACCTAGATTAAGAGCCTTGAGATTTGATTTGGGGTGCGAGTTCCAACACCTAAATTGCTAGATATTCTTTGTCATGCTGAATTCTCCAAGCCCTATAAAATGTGGATGATCACATTTGACCTTCATCCTTTGTCCTTTGGGTGGATCAACTGTGAACCAAGTGTAAAGGTGCCTTCTAAACACAGTGCTGCAGAAACTGTAAGGGGCAGTATTTTGTTAAAGCACAGTACATCTCTAGTTAGAATTGTGGTTTGCTAAATTGCTAATTATAGACTGAGATGATCTTTGCACAGGAAATACTACATTTTGACTGAAAAGTAATAGAGGATCCACACAAGCACTGTTGCAAAGCGG